AACTCCGCTCTCTTTTGCATGCAAATTTCGCACAAATTGCAGGTTACACGCAAAAGTATGTCGAGATACGTTGCACAATTCAGAAAATAATTCAGGATAGAATTACAGTTCTTGACAAATATCGCAGAAATTAAAAAAAAAAAAAAAAAAAAAAAAAAAAAAAAAAAAAGACAAACATTCGAAAATAATAAAAATAATAATTAATATATTGCATACTCAATTTTGTTTGTCAACCGATGTATTGCGAATATTTCATCTCTCCGCCAGTTTACTGCGAGCAATTTTTTTTTTTTTTTTTCCACGAAAAGTTTTACGATGACCTCAGCGAATATTATCGTATTTTGCCGGCCTCTCGGCATGCGCGGTTTTATGAATGAAGTCGCATTCGCAGTTGCCCGCATCGCTGCTTGAATTCTCGCTCAAAACTTTTCTCCTGTGTTCGCCAGTTTTCGCCCCGCTGCGAAAAACCTCCCCGGAGACGCGAGAAAGAAAAGGGGAAAGGGAGACGACTCCTCCTCGAGAATTCGCGGAGGCGTGAAACGAATGCGCGGAGCTAATGCATTTATACGAAGTGTAACAATTACTCCGGTTGAAACGGAAGATGGAAAATCCCGGACTCCTCCACAAAGGGGCTCTAAGGAGACTCATTTAGAACAAATGTTACGCTACGATTAGAGAAGATGTATTTCTTCGAACAAAATATTTCTCTCATCGCGCAATTTCTCATAACACAATCCCAGCCCCATTTTTGGCTGAATCGCCAAATATCGGTCGGTCTCAAACATTTTCGTCGCTATTTCGAGCTATTTCGAAGATCTGTAGTTTCGCAAAAGTTCGCGAAAATATCTGAAAAAACTAACGACTCGACAATTATCTATTTCCGAAAGATTGAAACGAACGAAATTCTCATTTCGCATCATCTCCACGGGACACGAGCGAGATTTGTTGCGTCGGACACGCGTCAACAGTCGATCGGAATAAATGTTTGAAAATTGATTTTACGATATGAAGGGAAATGAATGTACGATCGGGTCAAGCGCGAACGTCGGGAATGAAATCAAATAAGTTTTCGAAATCGTAGCACGTCTCGCGGTACTTCCGCGAACAACTTAAGAAGGGGTTAACGACAGTCAACGCGGCCATTAAAACTTCCCGTGTAGCACGCCGAGAACTTTTCCGCGGCACCGGTAGGTATAATTAAAAATGAAAAAACCCCTCCGGTCGCTCTCGCCGAAGACGACCGGAATAAAATGTCAGTTTATGGCGACGCGGACGAACTTGCACCATTGAAAGTTAAAAGGCCGAGCAATTTCGACCACTGATACGATCTCTCGTTTCAAACCGACGATGAGAGTAAAACCTTCGTTTTCGTCTATAAAAAACGATTATTTTTGATCCTTTTTTCCCGAAATGTCCGGAATAAATTCAACCGAAAGAGATATGAGAGCGAATACAGAGAATTGTGAACGTTTGTGTCAGATATTAATTTACGTAGGTATGCATTTGTTTGTTTTTTTTTGTGTGTTATTCAAATATTTATATTTTATGTCGGATATTAATTTACGTAGGTATGCATTTGTTTGTTTTTTTTTTGTTATTCAAACATTTATATTTTTATGTCGTAAAGCAATGTGTGTAGTAATAATCACAATCACACACACAATAGAAAAATATGATATTGATATTGAAGTTTCAAACATATTTGTTATTATTCAATTTATTCCACTTATTCAATAGAAACAACATCACACACACACACACAACTTCAATAAAAAAAAAAAACATTATCTGTAATGAATCGTAACTCGACTTCGCGAATGTGTGGCAATATTCCGAAAACTCGCGTGTAAACAATATTTTGTGTTACGGCGCGAAAAATGTCAAACCAGCTTCTGTTTCCCGTTTTCTCCGTGAGAGAAGTGCGAGAAAACGCGCGAATTAAACGTTCTTTCGAAATTATGTTCATACTTGCCGGGCGAGGTGGACGCGTTCGAGCGGGGGCGGATGGCTTACGAGCAATAATCTGGCTATTAGGGGGTGTAAGGGGCGGCTGCCCCTACGTGCTGCCGTGCCGTGGAGGAGAAACCGGGTGCGGCGCGGCAGCCTCCTGCGGGGGTCCTTACAAGCGCGTAAACTCAGTTTTACTAGCAGTTAACATTTTACGAGTCAGACGGTCCGCCTGTGTTGTTCGCTCTCGCTCTCGTTCGCCTCTCTCTCTCTCTCTCTCTCTCTCTCTCTCTTCCCACGATTGACATATACGCGCGAGCGAGAGCCACCTCCGGTGCCCGAGAGACACCCGATATATAAACTCATAACGCTCGCTAAAGCGTCGACGTGCAACGCTCGTCGTTTTCCGGGGTCGTTTGCGAATATAAACTAAATTAATACAACACCCCCCCCCCCTCTCCCTGGTTGAAAACCAGGCTAATTGTCCGACTAATTTGTATTTCGCAAAACGGACCAAGCGGTTCTAAGGAAGCCGCTAATTCGACGGCGTTGTTGAACATACCGACGACGACGACGACGACGACGACGACGACGGTGCGATCTTCTCCGCGATCGTAACGAGCTATACAAAAAAATTCTGCGCGCTACCGCGCGAAACAAATTCTACTTCTATATAAAGTTAAAAACGCAATAAACGTGTTCTCGCATTTCCGTGTTCCGTTTAAGCGCATTTTTCCCTTCTCGATCGCGCGTTTTCAGGTACCATCCAACTACCGCGAATTTTCCTTTCCCGTATCTGTTACATCTAATTCCACCACCCGCTCCTCTCTCTCTCTCTCTCTCCGTCTGCCTATGCCCAATATCCTCGCGCGTTGTTTTCCACCGCGAAAAGCGGATAGCGCGGCCGACAAACCCTTTGTTACCGTGCCTTATCTTAATTGCTTTCACGGGTTCGCGTTTAGATCAATACACAACGCGCCCCGGCGTCCTGCCGCCGCTCTTCTTCTTCTTCTTCTCTCTGTCGCTTCGCTCCGTTCCAACGAATCTAAATTATCCCGAGGGTTGTTTCGACGCGAATTCTGGCTGCTCGTACTTTCTCTTTCCTCCCCCTCTCTCTTTGCATATTTTAAGAGCGCTCCGGTTGTGGAATTTCGTCGCCAGTACCATCTCACTCGTCGGTGATGGTCTGGAGGAGGAGTTATCACACCACACACTTCGTGTGACGTCGTTAATGTCAAGAGATCGTGGCTTCTCCTCACGACGATCGCATCTTCTCAAGAAGCATTGGTGTTCTTTAGAAGAGGTAAATGAGAAAAATTAGTATAAATGTTCCCGATATATGTTTACGCTTGTTTCGATACCCGATCTCATCGCGACGACTTGTACATATTAATCAAAGTGTAATCGGCGTCACTTTATAAATCGTAGTTCCCGAGACCCTACTCCTTGTCTTCATTCCCGTCCGTCTCCCTCGTCTTTTCGGTCCTTTCTCACGCCTTCGCTCCCTAATCCGAACGCGGTAAAAGACGGAAAAGAAGAGAGAGAGAGAGAGAGAGAGAGGCTCTCGGGAGAAGAGAAAAAGGGAAGGTGACCGGGATGGCTGCTCTTTTAATTCGAAGGGTGAATCCCGAACGCTAGGGGTTCGCCTTCCGAGCGAGATTCAAAAAGAGAGAAAGAAAGAGAGAGAGAGAGAAGGAAGACCATGCCCCTTGGGATCCGATATCGACGCTCCGCGTAAGAATATACCGAGCTCTTCTGATTTACGAAGGAAATCGAGACGCCCGAGGTTCGTGTTTCCAAGCCCCCATCCCTCCTTCATTCGACGTGACATGACACTTGCGTGCCGCTTCAAATGTCGAGAGATAGAAAAAAGAAGAAGAAAAAAAAAAGAACCTTTCGGCGCACGATAAACGCGTCTGAACGCGCGCTTTGGGTATTAAAATCGCGTTTATATCCCCGATCGATGTGCGGATGTCACGTTTTCTCCCTTCAAGAAATTTAATTCAACCGGTTGGCACGAATGTTCTAATTCGGTTTTATCGTCCTCAGTTTTCTCCCCCCCCCCCTTTTTTCTCCCCCGTCCCAGATTTTCAATGGAGTGCGTGTTTTTACGC